ATCACGCTCTCTGCATCATCCGTAAACACCCCATCCGTAATCGCAATGACATTCAACGGCTTCACAAACCTCGCCGGATCGCGCAGATTCCCGTCCTCATCCGTCGCGGCCGCCATCTTCTCCACGCGCCGCAGGTACGGGGTCAGGATCTGCAGCAGCCGTTTCCCGTAGGGCGTTGGCCCGCGCGGCCGCACGCTGTTGAAGATCTCCTGCACGTCTGCCGCGGTGGTGATGTTGTGGTATGCGCCCGTGGAAGTGGCTGTTGCCTCGCGGCGGTGGTTGAGGAAGTAGATGTCGATTCCGTCCTGGTCGTACCGCGTGCAGATGGGCGCGATGGCGGCCAGGGCCTCCTCGGCTTCCTTCCACCGCGCGCCGAGCATGCTGGAGCTGTCGTCGACGACGAAGATGGTGTCGAACTCGCGGAGGAAGGCATAGGGTGAGTCGCCTGTGCTGCTGCTGAAGGAGGCCGTCGAGCCGGGTGTATGTGCGGCTGGTGCTGGTGCTTGCGGGGTGTAGGGAGGTGGAGACCAGACGTCGGCGTTGCGGGTTTGCACGTATGCGTTTCCCTTGTGGGGGGTTGACTGGGTTCCTTGGTAGGTGGTCATTCTTGAAGTTGAGGTGCTTGAACTACCTGCTACTCGGGAGTGACGATGGCCCATTGTGACTTCTGGATCGTCGTTGATAGTATACGCAGGTGGAGGCTGGTGCTGTAGAGATTCCGGCACGAGAGATTCACGAGGAGAAAGAGGAGGGGGAGAAGATCGAGGCTTGAATCTTCCAAAGAGAAGCGGCATTGAGATTGGGATCTGGATGATGCTCGTGGTATGCAATCGGCTCCACAAAAGAGGGAAAGTATGATGTCTTTCCTTGGTTGTGAATGAAGTCAGAACTCACTGAACAGGCAGTCTTAGCCACAGTTCTGTGAATCTGTCAACTATGATCTCATTGTTTGTTCTCTTGCCTTTCTTATATCTACTCATGACCCTTAGTACCACGAACAATGAAGGCATATACGAGGCAGACTAAGACTGTCCTGTCATCATATTACCACAAAGAAAACTATCTGTGCGCCAGGCTAAAAAGGCTGAGCTTAGAGAGGCATGATCTAGGTTCAAGCCTGAGAAGGTAATACGAGGGCTAAACCCCGGATGCAGGGACCAACAGAAGAACTACTACCCAAGTTAGATAAAGGACGTGCCAGAATACAATGAGGCTGAGTCGTGTAGTCAATTATTATGACTTAGTCACATAACCCTTGCTCCCGTTTATGGAGTGCAGCAGGTAAGCCTTGCAGCACTGCCCCCCGCAACCGTAGTTAGGCAAGGCTGTGTAGCTGCCTCAGGAACAAATGGAACCAGAGTGTGCAGTCCACCAGAAGGCTCGATGTAAGATTTATGAGATATGGACGAGGTGTATTATGTATGTGAATGTGTCATTTACATCATGTACAGCATAAATCATTCTGATAAACCTGATGGCGCCTGACGAGATACACAGGACGGTCCACCCAATACGCCAGATCGCCCAGACTATACACCCAGTGTTCAATCAAATCACCCTCGTAAAGGAAGCAGTCATTCAGCCTCCAAATGCTTCCAAGCACTTACCAAAACCTTGTTCTTCACAATGGCGGAGCTCTTCTCCTCTATGAGCACTCCGTCATCGCCCACGCCGTCAAAGATCCCCGCTTCGGCTTCTAGAACATCAATCAAAGCAAGGGCCTGATCGATCCCCATGCCGTGCCCGATGAGCCGCAGACAGTCAATGCCCCACTTGCGCACAGGGTGGTTCTTTCCCTCGCTTGCACCGGCCATGACCAGCGGCCACAGTAGCACGAGCCCTGCGGTGTGACTCTCATTCAGGGGGACAGAGCTTGTCTGACTCTCACCTGTGCTGCCAACGCCGAAATGGTATGGTACGCTGGCGCAGATGTCCGCAGCCAGCTGCCGCGTGATGCTGCGGATCGTGCAGCAGTGACTTTGCAGTTCGCTGGCAGCGCGTGCCCCTGGTGACTTGCTGTGCAGTCGTCGCAGACAGCTCAGTATCATCTCGGAGACGATGATGCGCGCGCAACGATACTGGTTCCATGTATGGCAGATCCAGAGATCGCTGTAGACGTGGTATTGATTGTTGTACGGGAGTATGCCGCGACAGAGTCTCTTGAACTCTGCGTCGGAGTACGAATTCTCGACGGTGGTGTATGAAAAGTCCGGAGGAAGAGATGCAATCCAGGCCAGCAATTCAGCTTCGATGTCGTAGGCCGCTGTTAGAATCTCTTGATTGTCTGTCATGTACTTCTGTCTAACATCGGCACGGAGGTTGGCCAATTGGCCCAGGATGTATATCAGGCGATCACCGTAAGCCTCTGTCTGTGGGCGGAGAAACATGCCAAGTGGTGCACATTCGAGCACCGATGGCGGCACGTGTACGCTGAGTTGTAAGCAGCTCGTAATCTGCGAGTGTCAGTTGTCGTTTGAAGAAAGAAACGTCAAGCCGCAGGAGCCAGCGAAGCACGTACTATCTGAAATCGCAGCTGGACGAACAGCTTCAGACCCTCGTCATTCTGTACTTGTTCCGGACCGCGCAGCTCGAGAATAGCCGCGGCTCCGCGAAGGTGGTTCGTCCACTTTTCAATATTTTGTGTTGTCCGGCTGGTAACGACCTGGAATAAATGTCTTGAGCATCATCAACGAGGAAAAAAAGGAGGCTATCAGGCCACTTACCTCAAAAATTGCCAGCATCAAGACCGCCCCCAATGTCGAATTGGCTTTCACCTCTGCAGGATTTGAGACAGCGAATGCTAACATTTGCAAAGCGAACCCATATTCCGCTCCAGCAGTGATAATCATCGACATGTCTTGTCGGACCCGTCCAAGCATCGCCGTCCCCACAGCACCGACACTCGCTTTCATAGCCTCGTGGCTCACAGAAAAGCCCGAGCTGGCAAGAAATTCGGGACTCAGGTCTATCATCCAGTGAAACCCAGGCCACCGGTTGTACCGAAGGAAGTAACAAACAGCCTCATCCTGCGTTGTCTGGTATGACGGCTGGATCCTCGTCAGCGGCTGCCGCTCAATCAACTCAGTCTGCACCGGGCTCTCGTCGCCGAAGTCAATCACATCGCTACGCCGGCTGACCGAGACCGTCGTCGCACTGGATGTGGACTCCGGACTACTCTCACTCGGCGAAAGGGTGCGCCTGGCCGCCTTCCTTGCCTGTGTTTTGGACTTGCGCGCAGCAGCGCTATTCCGAGCTTTCCGGACAACCTGCTGACTTTCATCGCGGAACATCAACGACAGCTCGTCTCGGTAGCCGGGACAGACCCTGTTGCCTTTGAGACATTGCGAACAAGCAGGCCGTTCCTGGTCGCACCGGATCTTCCTCGATCGGCATTGGCCGCATCCTTTGCTGGGTTTCCCACAGAAGACCATAGTAAAACCAATAGTTTGCTGTTTTATTCAGTCGCACAGGTGCAGTTCGTGGATGCAGAGACCCGTTCCTGAATAAGTAAGCTGTGCGAGCAAGTGGTACCACCGGGGGCCACAGCGGAGAAGGCCGGTCACGGTGTTTGGTCTGAACCCTTCTAGGTGCTAGGGTAAAAGACTATCGCGGTCGTTGAGAATAATTTATCGAGGTGGATGATCGTGCTCACTACTACCATGGACCACGATAGAATTGAGATGCTTCAAGAGGGCGGGGATCCCCCGTCATGGTCGGTTCGGTTCCTGAAACTTCAGGGGACATCATGAGTGCATGACCCCACACGACCCCATCTGGCTAAGTTGTGGGGTTAAACTTAAAGTTCGGCCGTTTCCCGAGGTTATCACTTATCATCACGGCCGTGACTCTTATTTTCTACGCTCAGGTTAACTGTCTTGACTACCTTACAGAATTACAGTTGTCAGACTACACGAAGCTCGATCCCTCATACAAGTAAGGGTAACCAGCGCGGGTATCCCCTAACTTGCTTGAGGTCTGGTTGGCCGAGAAAGTCCACGCTCTATATAATCATTTCTCGTCAATCATGTGTCTACTGCGAGCCTCGAAAACTATCTTCATGTGGCTGTAAGCCTGAGCTCATAACATCCAAGCGCAAACATATGTCACTCCCATCACTATGATTCCGAGGCAGCGAGCCGGTACTCCTCGGGAATGTCCCCAGGCCACTTATCTACACCGTCCAACATTGCCAGCACATTGTTCGCCAAGCCAGCGAAATCAGCCTTCTGGAATCGATAGATCCGCAATCGGGCCGCGTAAACACTGCCCTGCGATCAGTAAACTATTCCAGTTCAGGATTGTAAGCACGCAGATTCTTGATACCATAGCGCAACTAGTGATTGCCGAGAAGCTTAGATGGTTAGACGCTCACGGATAAGTTGATGAGGCTTCGGTAGTTGGTGCGGTCGTACGACAAAGGGAATTCAAAGCAATCAGAGAGATTGAAATCGAACAAGCTGACGTTTTGTCGAACAAGTAGATACAAGCTGGGGCGGGGAGCTTCAGCTGTTGTTGTGTTGTGAAAACAGAAGTTATGGAAAGCTGTAGGGTAAAAGTCGAGACCTTCCAGAAAAAATGGCCAGTCTCTGCTCCGTCAGGCAGATCTGGTTTAGACTTCGGATCTATACCTTGGTTCTGGTCCTCGAGGGCCAAGGGAATACCTAGTAAGAGTTAAGGGAATTATTTCATGCCCATACGAATCGGCAAATATATCGAACTGTCTCACAAGCTTACAGATCCCAAACTACCTTAGCTCCGCTCGAAAACCCCCTCAAGATGCCACTTCACGGAAGAGGAGAAATGTCTGCATAGCATTTGGATCCACTCAATATCCTTAAAGGACGGCTAAATACATGCCCCCATGCAATGTACAGTCCTGATATGGACGAACGGCTGTTGAAAGGGCCATCCGAACTGATTCAGGACCTTCAGCGGCGCGGCTCAAGCGTTCGCGACATCGTCAAGGTCTTGCGCCATGCCGATGAGGAGAAACACTCAAGCTACGTGCTAGAAACAATCATCCACCCCCGATCAGTCTTTGGTTTCTGGTTTTTACTCTCATATGGTTTGCCAGGAACAAACTCGGGCGCGTCCCCACGAAGCTTCGAGGTTGGAGTCGATTCGGCGAACATCGCCTCCTTGGGACTCTTTCCCTCTGAGGACGGCGAGTATATCTCTGGAGGTGGCGAATCCGTGAAGCTCGGGTGAGGCGTGAAACGAGGGTGTTCGAACTCCTAGCGTTCGACAACATGTCAGTATCCAAAGGAGTGGAAATAATCGTTTGAAGGAGCGAGCCAGCAGGTTTGATCAAACTTACCAGTCGTCCGCTTGCCCTGCGAATGTCATGCAGAATCATCTTGTACTGGTCAACTTGCTCCCTCATCCGCTGCGCAAGAATAGGAGGAGGAGTAGTCATCATTGCATGAGTTGGATTCATGGCAGGATGGGGCCCCATGAAAGGCTCTTGCTGCGCATAACCAGGAGGAGGACTATTAATCATTGGGTGAGCCGGATTCATGACGGGGCGTCCGGTCATGACAGGTCCTGGCTGCGCATACACAGCAGGGGGAGTGGCCATCATTGTGTTGGGCGGGATCATGGTGGGCCGGCCGGTATTGACCGGTCCCGGAAGCCCTGGAACCCAGGTGTGCACAGGCTGATGATGCTGATAAGGCAAGGGCTGGTTATTGAACGCGTTGATGCGAGGTCTGGGGCTGGTGCTTGTGCGAACTCAGGAGAAATGAAGGGAACTCTCGGGTCTCTAGAGAAGCGCTCTGCGTCTTGCACGGGGACAGGTGGGAATCGCTCGATAGTGCGGCCTCTCATTTGGTCTGGAAAATTGACCGTGTTGATCGTGTCGCCGAAGGTGTTTGGCTGCCACTCGGCCATGTTAGCGACTCGAAACACAAGAGACTGTCATAGCAGGTTTGATTCGATGGTGTTGAGAAAGACTCGAAAAGATAGACTCACCCGGTAGCGCTGATTCCTACGCTCCTTCCGCATGATGCTTGTTATGGAGAATACTGAAGGATAAAGTTCAGGACGAGTTGAAGCAGCAAGAGTAGGAAGTTGGGAAGTGGTTGATGATTGTCACTTTAGGACTGGGTAAGAAGAGGGCGAAGAGAAGGGTCTGTTGCACTCTGACAGTCAATGGTCATTCACAATATGTTGAAAGCCTTTGGCCATCAAGGCATTATGCAAAGCCACTTGAATGAACAAACAAGCTAAGCATAACAATTCTTTGTGGCTTTGTCTGCGTGTCTATCTCTCAGGAAAGACAAGCCGCTACAAAACTGACACTCTTTGTCTTTGTACCCTCAGAATCACCTCCTTCTGTCCGTCGCGTGAGGACATTCTCTCACTGCCAAATGCTGATGCCTCTAGTGGGCATCAGTTCGATTCATTTGTGGGAACCCATTGAGAACAGTTCAGAAGCTCAACTACTGTACTTGTTGAGCGGGAAATGAGACGGGCATTTACTCATGATCAGTTCTTTTGTAGGGCTAGGCCCAATCTTTTTCAATTTTCTAGTGTTTTTTGCGGCTTTCTTAATTCATCATCGACAGCAAAAAGGAAATCAAGAAGACATGGGCTGCAGTGCTCACTCGGACAGAAGCCTTTTTTTTGTGAATTTTGTTTTTTTGCCCAGTTGAAACACCAAAGAAGAAGACAAGCAGAAGGAGCAACTGAAACCAACAAAAAGGAAACCATCATACGCAGCCTGAGTTAGGGTTGAATGAAGGTCAACAAAGAGATAAGTAAAGAAACGTGTGAATCGACTCAACGATGACCGAGGCCAGGGTATCAAAAACGCAAGACAGCAAAAAATGTCATTGCTCATTCATTCGTCAGTCATAAGACAGAAATCAGGTGAAAGTGATACTCCGTAATCGTCATCAGTCGTGCAAGTCATGAGCTGACACTCTAAGAGGCGACTTTGGTCCGAGCTTGAAGAAACTTCTCATATAGAGCTCGCTCCGCAACGGTTTTCTTTTCCATTTTCTTGCGTAGCGTCTCCTCGGCTTCTGTAACAACCGCACGCGCGTTGTTCACAGTATCCAGTTGATGCTTGAGCGAGAGAGTTTCCTGTACGCGTCATTAGCGAGAGGGGCCCAGTCACAGGAGGTCTACAACGGCAAGGCGACTTACCCGAAGCATCTCTGCTCTCTTATCCCTGTCCGTCTCTTCACATATCTCTCGGAAAATCCGAGGAATAAAGGCAGAGATCTCCTCATCTTTCTGCTCCTTAGGAAGATTCAACCAATCTGTGTTTGAGGTATGAGTTGTCTGGGAATAAGCAGCCCCTGGAGACTCGGAGATCGCTGCCTGTTCTTCTGTGATCTTTTTGGCCTGTGATGCCTTCTTGGATCCAGTCGCTGATCTGAGATGACGAGAAACGCGGGTCGAGCGCTGCGGGCTTCCAGTAGAAGCTGCCATCGCTGAAGTTCTCCGGGAGCGACCATCTGCAGCAACAGGGGTTCGCAACCTAGGGTTTGTGGCCGCTCTAGTACGTGTTGACTTGGTAGGCCTAGCAAACGAGGGAGTTTGGTGTTCCTCGTAGACACGTGGCGAAGGGGCCGGGATGGAAGATAATGAGGAAGTAGGAGTCGGGAACGCTCCGGGTGAGACATGGATAGGGGCACTAATGCTGCGAGCACCCTTGCTCCAACCAGCTCGTTCGGGCAGTCTGGGGGACTTGATTCGTGGCTTAGAGGCTGTCGTTGCCGATTCAAATTTACCATCATCCTTACTAGCACGATCGACTGCGCCGCTTTGAGCCTGGTCTGCAGACTCTTCTACCGCAGCGTCGGTGCTCTCTTGATTCTTCATACGTGCTTTTTCAGCGGCATTCTTATGCTTGAAGATGTTGCGAAAGCTGTCAAGCATGCGATTGCTCCTCGAGTCTGGGAACCTGCCTTTTCCGCGCTGTGCGCTATGTTTGTTTTCGAGCACGATATCGTCAAAGGTCACAGTGCGTTCCAAATCTGTTGCGCCGTCTGGGTGTGGTATACTGGGAGTGCGAGGAGTAGTCATGGCAGACTCTCCTTGACTAGCGGGAACCGACTGTAGCGAGGACGTCCGGGTAGGATGCCGGCTGTCAGCGGCTGCTGCCCCTTTGGCCCTCGCAGGTTTCAGTTCAGGCAAAGGTTTGTCCTTGTTCAAGAACGCATTATGTTCATCTGGAATCTTGGGCACAGTAGGCACCACGTACTGAGACGGAAGTTCATTCGAACTGGGATTGTGGAGATCGGTCAAGCTTGGGCTACCAACAGGTTTTCGTGGAATAGAAAGCTCACGTCCACTGAAGTCCCTTCTGGAGATGTTCTCAAGAGAAGGCCGGGGGCGACAAAAGTTCCGAGAAGCTTCAGGGGTTCCAGCAGGGCTGATCTTTGCTTCATGACCTCCTTCAACCGATCTGGAACTCTGCTGACCGAGGCGTGCGTTGTGAGAGCTACCCTGTGTAGCAGTACGAGGGGCGTCTCTTTTGAGATCAGGAGACGATTTCGAAGAAAGCTTCGGGGTGCCCATGATAACGTTTTCCGCCGACGCCGCGATCTGCAGACGTGGTCCGTAGAAGCATTGAGCAGATCGCTCGAATGGCTGACGATTATCGCCAGTGTAACCGGTGGGCCTCTCAAGCTCGTCTTCGTCATCCTGCTCATCATCCCAGTCGCCACTGGAGGACGATGTGGATGAGTAGCGGGAAACCTCGTTTGCTATGTCTTCATCTCGTATATACCCCCACAGAGTATTTATTTGATGCTGGAAAGGCGACACATGAGGCCTGCGAGTACTTTCAGTGGCACGGGTTTCACCAGCCTCGTGTCCACTAGAGCCAACTTCAGGCATGTTCTGATGCTCCGTGCCAACTTTTCGGACCGCCACAGGGATTGAGCTACGGTGCTCAGAAGTCACTCGCGTGCCTTTCTGTTGGTTTCCTGCAGTACCCAACTTCTGGGAAGCCGGGGCATGGATACGAGTTCCATGGCTTGCATGTCGAGGTGTATCTTTGTTAGTGTTTTTGTCTTTGCAATGTCAGCAGGAGCTTTCAAGTGAGGAGGACGTACGTACCTTGATTGAGAGCCTCAGGTCTTGAAGACTCAGAAGAGATTGTGTTGTCCTGGTCTGGTTTTGCAGTGTCTGCAGCGTTTTCTGCTGTATTCTCCACGACACCTGCGTACGGACACATGTTAGCATCGTAAAGATAAGTTGTAGTCGGAGATAGCTGGAAAAGACACAACGGTCGTCATTAAGCTACTCCTCAGCCACCACAGGCTTGAGATAGCTGGGAGACAGATCGGAGCACAGCAGCTCTTCCGCATCGTTGCAGAGTCAGAAGGATGGGGAAAGTTATGAGTATGGAAACAGCAGTGTCTTACCTTCAGATACTGGAGACTGAGGCGTGTTACCAGGGTTGTCTGCGGTGTTACTGCCACCAGTCGAAGAGTCAACAAAGGGGTCCTTTGACGCCGAACCTGGTTCGGGTGGCATCCTGGCTTTTTTCTGGATTCTTAGGGGGGTGATCGTCAGGTCAGAAGAAGTATCTGAGAAAGAAGATCGAGGGGAAACTCCGTAGAGGTTATTGGAGAAGCTGTGATATTGAAGGATGGATGACGAGAGTGACAGTGGACGACTACTCTGCTGCTGAAGGAAAGAGGAAGAAGATGCTAAAGACTCAGTGCGGGTGATACCTTCGCCAGAATTTCTAAAATTTGGATGTGTTTGAATAAGAGAGGCCACATCTGAGAAAAACAACAGGGACTGGCGCACTGTGCGGTCCTCGTCTTCATTCACTATTGTAGGGCCGGGTCCGTCTTCGACCTGTGTACTAGTGCCAGCCTCTGCGAAAAGCTCTGCGAGCTTCGGAGAATCCGCTGCCCTGCTGTATACTGAGATTTCAGAGTATCGTCGACAGTTCCCGAGTGTGATGGTGCTTCCTATCTTCTCAGAGTGAGTCTTCCCTGGCCACAGTCCTCAGGTATATCCACATACAGACAAAGTTGACAGCGGTCTCTTCTGAAGCCTAGGTAGGCCAAGAATCATCGAGGCTCGCCTGAGCTCTTTGATCTCCTTGATATGATAAATTGGCTTGCACTGTATGCCATCCACTCAGCTTCCCCAAGGTCACAACAAACGTCCTTGACAACACGTACCTCGAGAAGCCGTTCTTGCGCATCCTTACGCATCGCCTTCACAGAAGCCTTCAGCGCATGCAACGTCCTGAGCGCTCTGATATTCCTAAGATTCTTCACGATGCCTCTCACACGAGCTTTCTTGACTTGATACCTCTTTCTGATCTCCTTCAGGATCCTCTCTTTCCGTGTCTCTTGCTTGGTCTCAACCGGTTTCGGCCGAAAGAACATCGGTTCAATTCCCATAATCTTAGGAATAGCAGGACCTGTGTATTGACGCGGTGGCCGATACTCGACAGGCTTAATCTTGGTCTCAGTGAACAGCATAAATCGTGGGACTTCCTTCGACTGAGACTCGCCATCTTGCTTATCATTCGATTCGTTGATCCGACTCTCGGGGCCTTGCTGGGAGGGGACGGGGGCTTGGGAGCCAACTCATTCGCAACTTGCTCCAAGTTGGGTGCCGATGCTCTGCTCCTAACGCCTGGTACATAGTTTTGCTTGATCGCTTTACGCGCTTTGCCGCTGGCAGGAATATTGATGGCACTTCTTTTTGTTCTGAGATTGGGAGCTGAGCGCTTTCCTTTCAGCTTTGCTGAACGTGCATCATGCTTCATCTTGTGTGGCCTGGTCGACTGCCCTGCGAGGAGCCAAGGAGCAGCAAAAAGTGTCCTGTCACAGACTATCCCTCTCAAAATGCGTCTATCGAACGTCACTTCCCAGTAATCGAAACACGGGAACGAGAGATAAGCAGGGAAGCATACCTATTCCAGCTGGGTTGTCCTATGACTGAGTAGAGTCAACAGCTACACATGAGGATATCATGCAGGAAGTGTTCAACACTGGTGCTCCTGAGAAGAGAGACGAGGTGACAGCAAGACAACTTATCCCAGGAGTGCTGAATATTGTTCTTGATCCAAACGAGGGCTAAGTTGATATCTCAGTCCTAAGGCAAAAGTGACATGTGATATTAAGACCGAGGAGGTCAAAGAAACGGAGTGCGTCCAAGCAGACATGCAGATAATGATAGATTTATTCTGAAAGAACACAGTGTGCGAGAGCAGACGAAGATATCCTTCACTTCAATGTAGGCATAGGCAACCTAAGCGAGGCGATTCCTATTTGGGAAACCAACTACGTGATAGAGAGCACACCTCAGGCACTGGCCATTCACGGTCGCCTTACATGTGTTTGTTTATTGCTTGGGGTCGTCTAGGCCCTCCTTGAGATGCAAGTTGAAACCAAATAATTACCATGGAAGCAGTGCTTTTTGTATTCTCATGCTTCTGATTCCGAGATCTTGTCCTATACATGGGCACGCAGTAAGTCCGTGGGCGCCTAAGCTGACCCTAACTGTGGAGATAATAGCATGGAAATGGACAGCCGTGATCAAGGCACACGGACATATTGCGTTTAACTGGAGAAATAGGGGAGCAGAGCTTCTTCGTACACTGAGGCTCCTGTTGCGCATACCTTGAGGATTGAAAGCTCACCAAATGTCTCGTTTACAAGGTGAGTAGAAATCCGCTAGCATCACATTTGTTTTGCGGCCGAACCGGGTCCCTCGGTGTCGACGTAATGTCCTCTTTTTCGTTTCACGGCGCTTCGCGCATCTTCTGACGCGGCCTGCGTTTCTTCGCTGGGATCCTCATCCATCCACTCAGTCACCTCCCATTCTATTGACGTCGAGCTGTCATCACTAACCCCTACACCGCGCCTTGTCTTCATTATGCGGCCCAGTCGACTTCCCTCAATCATCTCCTCGAACCACGGTATACCCCGCGTCGTACCCCGTCGGTAGCTCCGAGTCAGGGCAGGCGCGCGAGACCGCGGAGGCACGACAACTGTTGAATGGGCGGACGATGTTTGCGTATGCTCAGCTGGACTTACAGTCACGCCTGTCTTCTCCTCTTTCTCTGCTGCGTCTCCGGCCTCTTCCTCATCTTGTTCACCTTCATCCGACGATCCCGGAAGCAGATCGAGGTCCTCCAGCATGCGTTGAGCCTCCCCATACAGACTACCAATCGTCACAGACATATAGTCTGCCTCCTCTCGAGGAATCTCGCTCCAGTATGTGAGCGGAGTGCCGCAGTATCCGCAGAAGATGCGCTGTGTGTGAGGGGCATGGTGGGGGGTAAAGACCCGACGAATGGTGGCATGGGTTTCATCAGGAAAGTAAAACTCGGTGTGGGATTGATACCAGCTCAGGGGAACTCGCAGCCATGCGGTAAGAGGTGATCCATATGATTTTCCTGATACGTTTCAGTCTTACGTCGCCTTGGGGTAGGTACAGGGGATGACATGACTGCTTGGGCCGATACGTACGCTGATCCCGGCTGCTGTCAAAGTATATATGGGCGTGGTCTGTCACATTATCTGGGATGTCAATTGAATACTGATTGCGACCGCATAAACAGGAGCCGCGAAGAGGTGCACGAGTGCTCATATTCTGAATTAGGCTATTATCAAGTGTGGACATCGTAAGTTGAGCTTGTCTAGTATGAAGTTATAGATTGACGCCGCGAAGTACGATTGAATAGTAGCTCCGAGCTGGATGACAGGGGACACAAAGCTAGAAGATACAGGAAGCTCTTTAGAAGCAGTGTCAATGAAGAATGAACAGAGAGGATTGTAGTAAGTCGGAATCGTTGGTCGTATGGGGGGAGATCTTCGATAAGGATACCGATGACGTGAAGAGGCCCAGACAGCGGATCCCCAGAGGCTTGGCCATACCTCATGCGGCGGCTAACGGCGACGCGGATTTCTATTTTCCGACTAGTGTCTTATCTCGAGACTCGATTGTACTGTGCAGCAGGTACGAAGTAACTAGGACTTATCTAGCTAGTGAGACTCCGCGTGAGGCCAAGAAAGAAGGAGTAAAAGCACAGAAAATTGGACGTTCGAAACACCTATGGGGCTCGATTCTCCGCACGCTAACTAGGTTTTGGGTGGAGGATGGCTGGCTTCGTTAACTAATCCTTGGATCCTCCAGAACCAGAACCAGAGCCAGAGCCAGAGCCAGAACGGTCTTTCTCTTTCTCTCGACAATGCTTTTGGTCTCTACAATCCTCGAGGTTCCAGTCCAGTTCGCTCATTATCTCGGTTTCTGATTTCCGCTTGTTTGTTTTCGTTCTTGAGTGGCCTTCTGATATACCACTCGTCCTCCGCACTCAGAGTGTCACATGAAGAAAGACAGTCACATGCTTCAACCTGTCTCAGCAAATTGATTGCAAAATAATCCCACCACCAGTATAAGACGAGGAAAAAAAGAGGGAAAAGCAACATGCCATCTGCACAACCACCAGCATCCCTCGCCTCCAGCTCCTCCGAACCCTCCTGTTCTCCCATTCCCGCCAGCGCAAGCACAACAGCAGAGGACGCACATACTCGCTCCTCCACCACCCCCACCGGCCCCTCATCCTCCAAGCAAGCGGCCGTCTCAGGCGCAAGCACAGGCTCAGCGACAGACCGGGATAAACCACGCCTCACAGAACAAGAAAAGAAGAACAATCACATCGCCTCGGAACAGAAGCGGCGCGCCGCGATTAGAGAGGGCTTCGATCGGCTTACGGAGCTGGTGCCGGGGCTGGAAGGCCAGGGCCGGAGCGAGAGCATCGTGCTCCGCAAGACGGTGGATTTCATACACATGAAGCTACAGGAGAGACAGGAGCTTATTGCTGAGATCGAGAGTAGAGGCGGACACATTGACGATGCGTTTCGAACGTGAGGAGTATCGTATCCCAATGCGCTGAGGGGATTTCGTGGACACCAGCCGAGGTCTCGGCATTGCGGTTGCGGGTTAGGTTGTTGTCGCTGACTGCCAGACTTGGGCACAATGAGACGCAGCCACATTTTCATGGGTTATGACTTTGTGTTATGGGATATGTGTGTTCTTTGGTTTATGCGATAAAAAGCTGGACGATTTCCTGCCTAGCTTTGGTGCTTCTTCCGGCGAAAATTGGGGTGGTCGCTGAGTTTCTGGCATGCTTGAAACGCAGGCTGGATAGTTATGGCGCTCTGGGGTGTTCTTTTATCATATTTTACTCTCTGAGAGTCGTATTTAGTAGAGCGACTCCCTGTTCCCTGGTCGGCTCTTGTCGTTTGAACTTGATACCTTCATACGGACTTTGAAGAATGCATAATTACCGGTGAGAAGTCTGTAAAGCTAACCCTACTGTTCTACTTGCAGTCCTTGTCCTATGCCAATTTCGGATAAAAGGATTACTATCAAATGTTCCTTGGCATATTGCATACTCTATGTCCAGATCAAAATTCACAACGAACAACAGTATCAATAATAATACACATTGGAATCTCTCATAATACACACTAAGATGGGTAGTCAAGACATATCATCACGGGTATTCAAAGCCAACGAACATTCCACAATGCAGAAGTCCAGGTGAAATAAAACATATGAAGAGATGAGAAGTGTCCTGTTAGATCGTATAACGCCGCCCAATGCAATCTCTCTGTCAAATTCAAAGCGGATCGGCTGTGCGAGACTCGCTCAACACCACTGGCTGAGTCTACATAGGGGTTCTAACTGGACCTGAGAAACGAAACGAGGTCTAGTAGTCGTCTCTGTCGGCACGCCGGCGGCCTCTAGAGAAATCATCGGCATTGCGGCGACTGCCAAACCTTGACTCGCGGCGGTCGGAATTGAACCCGCGGCCACGGCGAGAGTTACTAGCGTAGTTATCGCGATCGCCTCCGCGATAGTCACGCCCGGTCGACATGTCGTTGCTGGAACCGCGGTAGTCCGCAACACGAACACCAGGTACTCGATCAAGTCCCAAATTACGGGCAACGGTCGGACTCATTTGTGGAGGTTCAGGCAGGCCATAGCCGTGCACGACACAGTCGTTGATGGCCTGGATCAGGTCCCGCTTGCGAGCAAAATAACCTCTCAAGGGGCCAATTTGGGCCATGTATGCTCGCTTCTTCAGATCTTCTGGAACTTCTTGCACGGCGTCCTTGACCTCCTTGATGAATCTAGTTGCGGGGGACTCAGGGTCGAGTTCGGGCTTGCTCATATCGACCGTAGCCGTTGTGAAGGTCTGCTTGTCCACGTTGAGTGGAATGCCTTGTAGTTGCCTGTCGAACTCAGGCAGCTCTCCTCGGTGGGTGAGAACCCAGCCCTCGCCAGTCTTATTCGCCCGTGCCGTACGACCCAGACGGTGAATGTACGTGGCTCGGTCCCTGGGAATACTGACTTGGATCACGTGAGTCACATCAGGGAAGTCCATGCCCCGCGCTGTCACATCGGACGAGAAAAGGATGGCAGACTTAGCAGCCCGGAAAAAGTCAGAGGAGCGTGTTCTCCGAGCCTGAGTCAGCTGGGAATGAATTTCGTAGACACGAACAGGGCGTAGCGGATGATGACGCTGCTCGACTATGTTGCGGAAAGTCTCATAGGCCAAATTAGTCTGCACGGTTGAGTTGAAATAGACAATTGCCTTGAACGGGCGCTGATTCGGATTCTCCTTTTCGCCTTCGACATATTTCGTCACAAACTCTAGAAGAGCAGGCATGGCATTCTCGTAGCCTCTGAGAATAACGTATTTCTGAGGCACTGTGAGATGGGTAGGGACTTCGTCATCTCGCACGGTCTTGACGAACTTGAAGTTAGGCTTCATGGTCTTACGAACCATTCGCATGACTTCCCTTGGAACCGTCGCGGAGAACATGAGCGTTTGACGGTCAACCTTCATGGGGTCCGGAAGAAGACGCTGGATATGAATGATATCTTCCGAGAACCCATCATCCAGCAAACGATCTGCTTCATCCAGTACCAGAGTGGACAGATTGGGGGCCGTGACACCATTGTAAGAGTCAGAGAGGACATCCTTGAGCCGACCTGGCGTGCCGATCAACACATGGCATCCCTCTCTTTGGATACGACGGAGACCCTCGCGCTTCTGAGTGCCGCCAACTGCAGTCTGGACAATGACACCTGAATGAGCCGCTAACCGCCTAGCCTCCACAGCAATCTGCTCTGCCAGCTCACGAGTAGGGGAGATGATAATAGCGCGAATGTCGGAGGAGCTCGCCTGTGACCTCCTCCGGTTCACCCCCTTAAAGGACGGGTCCTTCATGATATTCTGGAATACCGGCGTGAGAAACGCAAGGGTTTTTCCAGTACCGGTCTTTGCCTGGGCCAAACTGTAGAAAGAGATGCACGATTAGTTTCGGTCCAAGGGCTTTTAGAATGAGAGCATCTACTAACACATCATCTCCTTGCAGAATTTCACGCAAGGTCTGGCTCTGGACATCGGTCATAGTTTTGATTTTCATATCTTTAACAATTGCGCGAATGATTTTTGGGTCCACGAGTCCCTGCTCGGCCAAGTCGGTGAACTCTCTCAATGGCTCCTGCGGAGGAGGCGACTGGAAGTCATCAGGTTGCGCCTGCGCTTGAGCGGATGCCGATGAAAAGAAAGGCGACGACTTATGCAGCAGTCGCACGGACTGGGGGAAGGCTGTAACGGGAGAAGTCTGGCATCTTAAGAGCTGCGAATTCGACGGTCTGCAGATGGCCCGGGGGACGGAGGCTCGCAGAGCGTGGACAACGCCATAACGGCGAACTGCGCCCAGCATCATTAAATCAGTAAAGGGGGAATATAATTGATATTCTATATCAACAATGAAACCGAGAAAAACAAAAATCGAGATGAAAACAGTCTCAGAATGATGTTGGCTGATGCAGGATTAGCCACAGTCCGAAACTTCAAAGCATTCTGGAAAAGGGAAAAATAGCGGCAGAAAAAGTTCGAGACTGCAGGCGGTGAGAAACTGGCGGCGAGAATGAGTGCAAATGTATGATGATTGGCCGAGCGGCCTCCGGCACAACATCCACCAAGAAGCACCCAGTACGAAGTAGATAGGGTGTGGTGATGCTCAGCAGCATGAGGAACAAGACGAATGGACAGCTGAGGATCAAAATAAGTACAGTGTGGCTTACGTTCTACTATCTAATGCTCCAGTTTCTCAATCATGTCTTTTGCGCAAAGTCGTCAAAGGGATGAGTCCGTGGCAGCTGTCTCCATAATAGGGAATGGCAAAGGCATTTTCTGATGAGTAGAATTTAGGTAGTAAGTTTGTGCCAATCGTTCTGAGGATGATCGAGTTCAACATGTCTACTTAGTACAATCGTTGAGGTTGAGAGTTATTGTGTTGATGGAGTCCTTCGAGTTGTCTGACCCGGTGATCGAATGCCCCGTTGGCTCAATACTCGAGATGGATGATAGCGAACAAGCTCTTGCGTGCATGTTTGAGGATTTTAGCTGTTCAAGGGATTGGAAACACTGTGTCTCCTCAATAGAACCCTTGAAATGGATGTGCATATGCACATTGAGTCCCAGTAACAAACTTCAAACTTGTGGCGTGAAACGCTCTTGAACTATCTGTAATCCAGATCGGCTATCCAAGAACATCAGTAATGAAGACCGAATCTAGGAAAATTACTGGAGATCAAGTCTGCTATGAAGTCTAAATGAAGCAGCTGGTCAACGCATAATAGTCCTACCCAATACTCCGTACCTCTCGTAAGGAGATGCAGCTTACGTGAATCTCTGCCTCATGACTTCATCACATACTGTACGGTATCTATGAAGGTAAAGTTACAATACTCTATTTTAAGGTGCTTACCCTCTGTCTATGTACCTACAGCTAATCTCTCACTTGCGGGACTCAGATCAGAATAATAATCATACCATGTCATACCGTTATTTTTTTTTTTTATAATAATAATTATTATTATTATTACCTCTCTGTTCAGTACTGAGCAAACCATCCATGCCTGCAGCTGGGCCCAGCCGGCAATGCATTAAACCGCATTATTAGTGATCATCCTCGGATATGCACATCATGGGTGTATGGCTGCTTTAGGGAACACCTCCGCACAAAAAATCATGATGTCTCATCTAGCCTTTCATCATTGCGCAACACCCATGCCACTCGCCAGTCTCAACGACACGGTTCTCTTTCCTAGAAAGTGTCCTTCACCCGTCGGGGATGGACATGAGTCCTCCCGATTGCTCCACTCATCAGCCATGAAGACTTGGTTCCATGGAGACATGGTACTCTTAAGTCTCCGGCTCTCAGCGGAGTAAGTTGATCTGGGAGCCACTCCGCTGCTAAGGCCCCTCGGCCAGACGAGTTGCCTAGGCACTTTCCATCTTTTTTGATTTCTCAAAGAAGCTTCTCTGCTGTTCGCTGCTTGATAATCCAGGTAAAATTCATCATTATTCATCCTCGTTGGATTTGACTCTGCCCCGCTTGTCTTCTTGGAAAGTGGGCTACGTCCTTACCTAGGCTATTAGGGAGGTACAGTATATAAATCAGTACTGCTCTTCGTAGCTACAGACTAGCTATTTATTGTTGAGACCACCCTAGAAGTTTTCTATACACGTCATCCTCCCAATCCTCTCCATACACTTCATACACTCACAGCCAAAATGAGCTCAAACAAGGCCCTCGTCTTCAAGAAAGTCCCCGAAGGATACCCAGTCCCCGGCGAGCACCTTACCATCGAGCCTGTCGAGTATGACGCCAACACACCCGCCCCGGAGAATGGCGTTGTCCTGCAGTCCCTCTACACCAGCTTCGACCCCTACATGCGTGGCCGCATGCGCCCGCCTCATGTAAAGTCCTACTCTCCAGCTTTCGAGCTTGGCAAACCCATCGAGAGCTCGACGATTGCCAAGGTCCTCCGCTCCAACAATGCTTCTTTCAAGGAAGGCGATCTGGTCATCGGCTTCGTCCCCATCCAGGAGTACATCGTTCTCGATGGCTCCCAGGTTGCTCGCATCCGCCCACTCGAGAACCCCCTCGGCATTGAGGACATCCGTGTGTTCCTTGGTGCTCTGGGTATGCCCGGTCTGACCGCCTACTCTTCCCTTTACGAGATCGGTAAGCCCAAGAAGGGCGAGACAATCTTCGTCTCCGCTGCCAGCGGCGCTGTCGGACAGCTCGTTGGTCAGCTGGCTAAGCACGAGGGTCTCAAGGTCATCGGCAGTGTTGGTTCTGATGAGAAGCTCGAGTACATCATCAAGGACCTGGGCTTTGACGGCGGTTTCAACTACAAGACGGAGAAGCCCGCTGATGCTCTGGCCCGCCTGGCGCCCCAGGGTATCGACATCTACTACGAGAACGTCGGTGGCGAGCACCTCGAGGCCGCTCTGGACGCCATGAACAACTTCGGTCGTGTGGTTGTCTGCGGCCTGATCTCCCAATACAACGCTGCTCCTTACCCCATCAAGAACATCCACAATGTGCTGATCAAGCGTATTGACATGCGTGGCTTCATCGTCAGCGACCCTGGCATGGGTGACAAGTACACTGAAGAGCACCAGAAGAACGTGCAGAAGTGGATCAAGGACGGTTCCTTCAAGACTCTTCTGCACGAGACCACCGGTATCGACAATGCCGCCGAGGGTCTGGTTGGTATCTTCCACGGTAAGAACAAGGGCAAGGCTGTTCTGAAGTTTTAGAAGGGAGGTAATTCGTTGGAAAATCCTGCATGTTGATAGTATAATCATCTCATAGACACATTATGACGAGATATGAGCGGAAATGAATTACATATGCCTGGCGCAAAAACATTTTTCAGATCTGGTCTCCGGTAATTGATGTCCGCACACGTCGGTTGACGTCCGCTGCGATTGTCAGTAAGAACATGTATCTCGCAGATAGCTCTGTAGACGAATATCGACATCACGTAAGTCCAAATACAATAAAAATGCTAGGAAAAGAGACAGTTGAAGCATTCACAAAACACCATACAAATCCATCTGCCGGAACATCGGCCATTTTCGGCTGGGCGGAGAGCCACTAGCGAATCAGAGTGCGCACAATGTGATGACCGCATCCCGAATCGGATTCCCGAGGTTCCCAATTCAACCTCACGATCTCAAGCGTGCTACTGCCTTAGGTCCAGGACTCCTAAACGCCCTCAGGTCTGCAGTGCAGCTCGCTTTAGGATATTGTCTGGATCGAGTTCTCAGTATATTGTCACGATGGCTTCGATTGCGCGCCAGTCCCTCCTTTCCAGGCACTCTTGCCTGTCTGCCTTCCGGTCGCCCTTGGTGAACAAGAACGTGTCGCAGGTTGTGGCTTTCCATGCTTCTTCGAAGAAGCAGATTCTACCTCCTCTACCTCGTGAGTTACCCTTGATTTGTTTATGAGGGTTATTATGGTGATGGGTGGTGATTACGGGATGCTGCGTTGATCAGGAGGGGTGTATGGAATGGAGTGAGCTAACAGATTGCGTATAGAGGTCATTCAGGGAACAAGTATGTCGAAATCCCCCTCGTTAGCAGCACCGATACTGTTTGAGACGCGGAGCGGAAGACACGCCGTTTTTCAGCCAAATGCGCAGTCCGCGAGTATTCGATACATGCAGCTTGAATCCTCGAAACAGAAGAACGATGGACTGACACAGGACTGTCCCAGTGAACGACCCTGCTCCCATTCCCAAGCCTCACCCTTCGGAGGGTAGCTACCACTGGACGTTCGAGAGGTGCGTACAGACAAGGAACCCCCAGATAGAGGGTAGGGTATAAATCAAGACAATCAACGCTGATGCGGATCTAGACTCGTCTCTGTCGGACTGATCCCTCTGACCATCGCTCCCTTCGCTGCCGGCTCCCTGAACCCCGTCATGGACTCTGTCCTCTGCGGCCTGCTGGTCCTCCACTCCCACATTGGTTTCCAGTATGGTCGCCCAGATTCCATTTTTTACACGCAGTCGAAACTGACAAGTCACAGTGCCTCTATCATCGACTACTTCCCCAAGCGCCGCGTCCCCAAGACAAAGACGTTCATGAACTGGCTGCTGCGTGCTTTCACCGTGACCACCGCCGTCGGTCTGTATGAATTCGAGACAAACGACGTTGGTATCACAGAGGCCATCAAGCGGGTGTGGAAGGCATAGACCGATCTTTGAGGGTGTTGTTTGAATTCTGCGTTTGATTTGGATGATTCTTCCCAGGTGTCTGCCTATGTACATGTGCCAAATTTTCTATTTGTCTCGTCAAGCTAGCCTGCTACCGGTTGAGCTATAAAATGTAAACCGAAGACTTTCTCTATACCATTGCCCTTTCCACATCGATGGAATCTATAGCGAACGACCAGCGTAGTACCATACCAAAGGATATCATCATGAGCCCAAGACCGAGCACTCAACCGCTTTACTCCTCGTCGTCCTCCTCACCCTCCAACATCTCATCCCCATCATCATCATCATCGTCCGCCTTAGCCACCACCTTCTCAATCAACTTCAACGCTGCCTTCAACGGCAACCCCACAACATTATCCCAGCTCCCCTGAATACTCTCCACAAGAATCGACCCCAAACCCTGCAACCCATACCCGCCCGCCTTATCCGCCCCCTCCCTCGTCCGCACATACGCCACAATCAAATCATCCGTCACCTCCCGATCAAACACCACATCCGTCTCCTCGATGTGCGTCTCAAGCGCATATCCCGGCTGCCGCGCGCTCTCCAGCGGCGCCATTGCCACCATCGCCGTGTAAACCTTATGCACGCTATTATCGCGCAGCATCTTCAGCATAGCGATATGCTGCGCCTCTGAGCGCGGCTTCTCGAGGATCGATCCCGACAGATTATCCACGACAATGGTGTCAGCGGCCAGGATCAGCGCCGGCTCGCCCTTCTCCTCGTTGTTGATTTCGGCGGAGTACACCGCCTGTGCCTTTTTGGTTGCTGTTGCGAGAACGTACTCGAAGGGTTCCATTGATTTGGGGAAGTCCTCGGCGGCATTGCTGGGGATGACTTCGAAGGGAAGGCCCAGGAGGGAGAGGATCTGGCGGCGCCGGGGCGAGGCCGAGGCGAGGATTACGCGTTTGTTGCGGAGGGTGTTGAGGACGGGGAGGGAGAGAGGTGGTGGGCGTGGGAGACGAGGGGTGGGTGCAGCACTGGCATCGTAGGCTGGTGGGGGTTCGGGGCGGTGTCGTCGACCTGCGACAGAAGGTTGTCTTTCGAGTCGGTCATTGCCTTGTTTGTGTTTTTGTGGATTGTAGAAGTACGAGGAGCGTGATGTGTGGCCGTGATACTGTTGTCTGAAGCAAAACTTCGGTGTGGGGGTACATGAAGATATATACCCCAATTGGAGTAGCGCTTGACTCATTCGGTACCCCGATTGATCACTTATATTTTGGGCCATCAGCTACCTTATATATTGGCAAGTACTAAAGCTGTAACTATTGTTTTTGGGTACGTATGGTATGCTAGTAGGGACAGTCACACAAACTATGTACAGCATCAACGGAGAGGATAGCGCCCTGTCTCTAGCAACATCAATAGCAAGAGGAAAGTCCTCTGAACAAGACATGGTATGCTCAATCTTCAATCAAAGGTTATAGGCAACATTGTAGTCTAGTCTCGTGTGAAGCAAGTGCAATCGTGATGCACCCCTGCGGCTAGGCTTTGAAAGCATAACGGGTTTGAAGCGACTTTTGGTTCAACAAATGGTAAAGATACATCAACTCGAGGGCTTCGGTGTTCAAGGAGGTAGCAGCCCTTCCATTTAGAGGGCAGTGTTTATGTACGTTAGGCTGGCAAGTCCTGCATAGCTTGTTGCTACCTCCATTTCGGCTTGGTCTCAAGTGACAAAATCTCCGGATTCGCAGTGGAGTAAGATTGAACGCTTCGAGAAAGGATGCGCGCGCGGCCACTGTGTCTGAATGAACTGACCATCCCATTATCATGAGCAATGTCCCCGTGCAGTCTTAGCGACGTCAGCGCATAAACCGTGGATATTCCTAATATAGGAGCATACGCGAACAGATAACGGTATCTCTAGGCTTGCTCAGTCCTTAAGACTGGATTCTTGTTTTCAGCCGAGGGCCGCGATGATTCAGTCCTCTCAGAGGAGTTGGTGTCGTCAGTGTCAGAACGATTCCTCTGGTGCTGACTTCTCGACCTAAGACCACAGATGCAAGTAAAGTAGGAGAAACTGCAACCTCGTCGTCTAGACCAGTATTCAGAGCATGCAAGGGCAGTCATGAAGATGCTGCAGATCACGATGATAGGGACGAAAACTAGGACGACAGCGAGAATGGTAGTTTGGTATCGATAGAACCAGTCGTTAGACATGTTAGCGTTATCCAAAACGTCTCTAATATGCAGTCGGTACTGGGATGGTGACAAGTAGAGGATGTTGTCTGCGTTTACGAAAATCGAGAATGAGAGGGATGTTAAAGACTGTCCCTGGGACGAATATCAACGGCAGGTGCGAGTTGGGATGTACTCAAAGTCTGGGAAGAGCATCCCCCAGGCAGCGACGTCAGGGTCATGTATTCGACTCTTTGCAAGGATAACGGCAGTCGACGACCAGCCAACATCAAGTGAAATTATGGCCAGGAGTGAAGCTATTCATGTGCTTCCCCGGCTGGAGGAATTATCATCTCCTTGATCGAAGCCAATGTGGCATCATCCAGATGAGAGAAGCGTATCTACCGGGTCGACGTCAGTACACAATCATAGAGAGAATCGAAGCATACATACCATCTCATCAGTGGCCCCGCGAGCAGCATTTCCAAACAACATTTGATCCGAATGACTCGCCTCAATCTCATGCTGAACACGCTTCGCCCAAATTCCGTCCCAATGCCAATCACCAGGAAGCCGAGCCTGCGGACTTCCTCGTTTGGAGTTGGGCCTCGCCGATTCGCTATTTTCTCTTCTGTGTGCCTTCCATGCGTGCCACGCGCTTGGGTTTCCCGCAGCTTCAAGAGGCAAGGAGTCAAGCACGTTTTCATCGTCAAACGTTGATCGGATATAGTTAATCAGCACTGCTACTGGTACCGTTTTCCTTGCGTCCGAAGCGGTTCCTTTGTCCTTGGTGAGATTGTCGCCCTCCTCTGCACCATTGGGCTGACGTGAGGAAGGGGAAGAAAGGCCATCCGTCGTTGCCGGCTCCCCTTCACCAGCGTTCGCTCCATTCACGCTCACTGGCCTGGATGAACCTGTTGACAGTCGTCCTGTCTTCTTTGCCCGCCCAAACCAGTGAGGGAAGCCATGTCGGAGACTGAATCCACCGGGGGTAGTCGCTCCTCGTCCGTCGCGCTAACAGGGTCTTCGGTCGACGCGCCCGTACTGAAGGTATATGTAGTAAGGGGTACAATTAACGGATGGAAAACATCGGTCGAAAATGTGACGAGGGGTGGAAGCTCGGGATAGGAGTCGGGAAATCTGATCTGGAATCGGAGGATGGCAGAGGCATAGGGGCCTGTGATTGAGTCAATTCGAGTTTCCGCAGACAATGGGGTCAGGGCAAATATACCCGATCGCACAAATATTACGCCTGACCACAGGGTAGGATCGCCTGGTGTGATGGAAATGTAGATTCCCGGGGGAGCTGCATGTTTCAAGCTGGCACTGCAGGACTGACACTTAGCTAACACAACATTGCCGGTACCGTTCAAGAAGAGACAGTCATACTCACAATTCAAGCAGAAGTTGTTGTCTACGTAGAGCAGGGATATTCGGTAATCTGGATGAGGACATTGTGCTGATGGGTCGGTCAATTGTTCAAAATGGGTTTGGGGGCTTATGATTTCTCCTGTAGCTGGTGCCGAGAGGCCAGTGGGCGTGGACACAAACAACCAAGATCCCAAGTCCGTTATCTCCGCCATCATATCAAGATAAACAGAGGAGTGTAGAGAATGTTTGGGGGTCGTCAATTCGTGTCAGATTCTAAATTCTATATAAGTCTATGTCGCTCTAACAGAGTATAGTAGCCTACGATTGCACATCGGAATCATCGCCCCTGCATCTGAATAGGCATCTTCTCCCACTGAGAATTGGGCCGGATCAGCCCCAAAATCATCATTCCTTCTCCAACTCCCTCGTAGATGCCACCAGCAACTCCTTCCACCCACCAGGCTGCTAGATTCGTAAACGCTGTCCCAACCTTCCCCTCGTTCAGTCGAAGCACCGTCGACCCCAGATTGACACTCCCCTTGCCCAGACTATCGGCAGCATCCAATGTTGCCGTCACAAGACGCTCCGTGACCCGATGCGACCTCTCATACCGATACACCTGCTGTAGCAAGATCTTCACATACGGCAGCAAGAACTGCACGATGAGAAAGAACTGCACAATACTAGACGCCAGTAAACGGTGCAGGTACGAGCGCTCCGTCGGATACCGCGTCCCAGCGCCCTGATTGGCCATGTTAACAGCGGCTCCAGCACCGGGCTGTGCAGCCGCGGACGCCGCAAGCGTAACCTTTACACTGGCGGGAAGATTGTGTTGAATCGTCATTGATTCCTCGTCGGTCAGATCCGCCGGCAGAGCGTCGAGGAGGTACCCCAGCGCATTGATGTACAGGGAGCGGACGAAGCGGCCGTCGCAGGTGGATTGCTGAGCTTCGTAACCCGCGTTGCGCAGAAGGTTCAACGCTGTAGTAAATATTAGCCGTATTTCCTCATCACTACGATCGCTAATGGCATATCCGAGAAGAAGTAAGATGCATACCAGGAACCACCCGGTTCCACCGTAACCCGGACCCAACCTCATACTTCGCTAGCATCGACCGCCGATCCATCGCATCGCCGTCCCTCCCTTCATCGAGATCCAAGGCCTCCAATGTCTTCCCCGACGAAGACGAAGCCGAGGACCTGGAATCGTACGACTCCGGACAAACACTACTCCCCGCCGTCGCAGGGCGCGGAGGCTCTTCGGCCCCCAACTCGCTCGCCGCCGACGATGGCGTTCTACAATAGCCCAAGTCTGGTGTTGAGAATGGTGCGAATGTGCGAAGAGCATCTGCTTGTCGCATTGGTCCTACCAGTCCATCGGTCGCTGTGTCAGAACTATCGCGATCAGTCGATCCCATGGCCCGGTGAAGAGAGGAATAGAGGCGGGGAATCCGCCTTCTAATCGCAGCAGGAAGGGCAGGAAGTAAGTCAGGGAGACCAGTTGAATAGGCCATGGTAGCAGTTCTTGATGTTGTTGGATCCATTTAGAATTTTCTGCCGGTTGACTTGAGCTGATTGACACGGCTCTCAGGACATTCAAACGCAGGTCTTGCAGGTCTTGCAGGTCTTTCAGAAGACAGTGAGACCTGGGTGATTCAACATGTTGAGACGCCACATCTGAAAGAGCCGGGAATTTTAGCTGCAGATGTCAAACAATATGGAAAATGTCCGAATATGCAGGTAAAAGTAAAACCGTTGGCGCAACGGCTGGCTTTCACATGCCAATCATCGCCCCGGTCGTGGCAAACAAAACAAAAGCAACTAATGCACTTCCCGATAATAATCAGGAAGCGAAAACCAGCACCTATCTGAATAATAATTGCTATCAGACTGTCAATGGAAGCAGTAGGACAAAGTACAATCACTTATCAAGCATGACTAAGGCAGCTACTGAGTTGAAACACCTGTGGACGTGGTCGGAAGGTCGAGCGCTGTTTGTCACTTGCGCGCCCTATCAATGACAGCGTTGTCAGTCTCGATAGTAGGCGGCCCAATCACACATTGTCCCTGAGACACTCTCTGCTCCTTCTACGCCCTTGACATGATCAGGTCGAAGTATAATTATTACAAAAAATTCTAAATGGTATATAAGAACTAACGCTGCACTTTATAACGACGTACAATTTCTCATTCAATGCATACACGGGGAAGACAAGAAGAGAGAGAAGAAAAAGGAAAGGAAGCTTTTCCTATGACCCCTCTCGACCAAGTCATGTCCAGATTGCGTGACACTCACTCATCAGACGCTTAACGTCCCTCATGTGGACTCAAATCCCACTAACATTAGGATAGAACGAAGCTCCGATCGACGCTTGATCTTGCTGGGCGACGGCTCCAGTTTGTTTCGGACTGGGAATATCGATAGGTGCTGACCCGACGTTGGAGAGCGATGCAGCAGCATCCGTGGAGCCTGCCAGCTTGTATACGTCGCCCTCGGGTACCAACGCGCTATTGCGCGTATGTTCTTGTTCTACTCCGAACATCATGCCATCCATCCCGTCAATATGCATTTCGCCATACCGATCATTGAGCTGTTGCAGAAACTCCGGTTCGAATCCCATCTGAACGAATTGGTCGACTGACCCACTGGCAGGCGTGGAGAAAGAAGAAACACCGGCAGAGACGTTGCTTCCCCAGTCGGTCGAAAGGCCGGAATTGACCCCAGACGGCGCAATTCCGAAGCTACCACTAAAACTAGCAGCCGAGCTTCCCGGCATACTCGGAGCAGCTGAGGATCGACCGGTCCCAATAGGACTTCGCAGTGCAGGACTGAAACTCTCAGGTTTCAAAGGACTTTTGTTGCATAACGACCTTGCCAGAGGATTGCCTTCGACTGGAGGCTGCCTTAGGCCGCCATGAGCCGCGAAGGGAGGCTGCATGTTCAGGTTATCCAATTGAATATGCTCCGAGTCAGGCACCACTTCAAGTCCCGTGTCACGCTTGAGGATACTGAGCCAGACTGGATTGTCGGCGCTGGTTTGGTTCCAAGGATCAGTATTGCCGTAAATTATAATCCGGGCTTGGTCCTGTATCATTTGATCCGTCGGTATGGAGCCTTCTGCCACTTGCTTGTTGATAAATGCGGTGAGCTCGCGCTGAAGACGATGGAAACAGTTCACGTCGTCAGGTTCAATGAGCCCAGGAGACGCAGTAGTTGGCGAACAACATGACTGTCCGAGAAAATTGGAGGTTGTGTAAGGGTTCAACGTTTTCCGATCTTGGCCAATAAGGTAAGGGGGCATAGCATTTTCCACTAAGCCTTGAACGAATGGTTCGAAGCCCCAATCCCCTTGCCATTGGGTCATATCAGCACCATTCTTGAAGTGCGCAGCCAGGTGTTCCACACGATCCTTCCAGGTCGTGAGGGTTGTGCCACAGAATCCGCAACGCGATTTCAATTCTGTTGTTGTGCTTTGCCATTGGTTCATATAGGAATTGAACTTGACGTTGTGCATCAGTCGAAGATGCTGGTTGAGATGGTCCTTGCGGTAAAATGTTCGCTCCGCCAGAGTCTTCTCTTGACAGGTACTATAGCAGTGGGACTCCAGATGGTCGGTGTCTGGGTCACTCGCCATGCAAAAGACACAGCGATTGGCTCCGTTGACGTACACCACACCTCCGTGAGGTGAGCAGGTCCATTTGTCGAGGGCAAGGTGCAATGACTTCTCGTGCCGCTGCCAGTCATACTTGGTAGCAAACGTTTCAGTACAGAATGTGCATTGGAATATACGAGAGCTGCGAGCCTTCTGTTGATTGAAAGGGTTCAAGGCTGTCGATGGCTTGCGACGACGACGACGTTCCTTCCTTTCCATTGAACCAAAGGACTCCAAGGAGGACCGATGGGAGAAGGCAGAGGCAAAGGACAGGTCAGAGACGGATGAACGACTAGCAGACCGACTTTCACCCAAGCTGCTGATGGATGGGGCCTTGAATATATTGGAGTTGGCATGGCTTGAGTCATTGCTGGATCCCTTCCGAGAAAGGGAACGCACGTGACCTGGCTGTCGTGTTGAATCCAAAGGGGTGTTCACCAGGGCTCGAAGAATATCGGTCGTGGAAGCAGGTTCGTTTTCGGGTGGAGAGTACTTCCATCGCTCAAGGGGCGTCATGAGCGCAATGTTTGGTTGCTGCTGTTGTTGCTGCCCGGGAATGTCTATGGCACCTGGAACCGACGAATTGCTGGACGGGGAGGGTCGGGTCTTTCCACGCCGCCTCGCGTTGGCAAGCCAGTTGCTAATTTGAGTTCTCTTCAAACCCGTGCGCTTTTTCAAATCGTCTTTTTCTTGCTCGGACGGGTAAGGATGGTCAAGGTGCTCCAGAAGCCATGTTTTGAGGATCCGTACGGCGTCGCGGGAAAGACGAGAACTGCTTTTCCTCCCCCGGCCGTCCATATCTTCCGATATGGTCATACCCGTAAGTGATTTCAGCGTCTTCCTCCCCTTTGGACCAACTGTTGGAATATCTACGTTCTCTGAGATCGCCTGGAGAGTTTCCATGTACTTGCCAGGCATTTTGGCGTGCGTGAAGCTGCACTCTCGGAATAATATTATGCAGCACGTGCAGCCATTCTGTAAGGCTCCTCTGTCTGAAACGAAGCAGTCCAGATTCATATGCCTGCAAAAGTCGCAGGGCTCCTTGGCTCGATAAATTGGAAGAGCATTGTTGGATTGCGCATTGACTGACGGAGCTTCCGTCTGCTGGTTGAGATCACCCTGCTCCGGCAGATCATTGGGAAACTCCAATGGCTGCTCATGTAGAAGGGCTTCGTAGTTTTCAATTGCATCATTCTCATCGAGCTCAAACCTGTCAGAAGCCACATCGTCGTCTGGGGCATGAGAGCCGAACGAGGCTCCATCGAAATCGAAGTATTCCATTTTCAAGGATACTTCACTCCGACACCGATGCCGTATTGAGTCAGTGGTTGTTGATCGACCTCGACTAATCGAGGTCAACAGTGTTGTTTGAGTCGACTCAATATGGGAATAGAAACGAGGTAGAGTGAGAGCAGGTGTATGATTGAAAGTTCAGAGTGGATGGAGGGCTGACGGAGGGAAGAGGACAGACAGTCCAGTAGGTCAGGTCCGATATTAGGTAGGTGTCTTCGTCTGGGGTATCAGAAGCCTGCCGAAGTACCGACCACGGACCAAGTCAAGCACTCTTTGTTCTGACCACCGTGCAGAAAATCGCTTGGACTGGAGGCTTGGAAGTTGGAACAATCGTCTACCTCGCCTTTGGAGGCAGTCGACTAGCAAGGATCCAGATAGCCTACTCTGTGAGCATTAATTTTGATTGCTCAGTCGCCGGTGGGTTGTCTGGGACTGATGATCACATTCGGCCCAGGAGGCATGACCGATAATTTTGACCCCCGCCAAACTGCATGGTCAAGGGCCACCTGTTTCCACACTTTCCAGGGTTGAGACAGCCACAGCGTTTCCCATGGACGGCAGTGGAGAGCTAGCGTGTCACTGTCAGGTTGCCCGTTCGGAGAGGGACGCCTGAAGTCCGAAATGATGCCTGAGTCATCTGCATATCTGGTTAGTGCGCGCCCTTCGGTGACAGCACTATGCCCGATTGAGACTAATTTTGGTTGCGGGGACGCGCGCTGCCCTTCCCGATTGGGTAGGAACGAATCAGCTCATGAACGATATCGGAGGGGGGAACAGTGGATTATCATCATTATCATCATTGATATGATAAAGACTCTCGTATCAACGCGTGCAACTACGAGTCCAGATGCTTGGCGTCGTCGACTTGATCAATTGAGGCTGATCCCTTCTGATCTTGACGTATGCTGATGTTTTTTGTGAACTTTGGTCTGACCATCCATCAATCAGATTCAGAACTACGGTTATTCCGACTCATGTCATCATGACATCTCTGAGACTCAAGCAGTCGGCATTTGCAGCTCTGGCATCTGTTGCACTTGCATACTTTCCATATCCATGAGACCATCCTGCCTATGTGTCCAGTCCGAAGGGACATGGAACTAGTCGACAGCGTGGCAGCCGAGTCCATCATCTGGCGTTTCCTTTGTGCCAAGACACCATTCTTTTCTATGTACAGAGTATGAGGGGTATATTTTGGGAACATTGTTCAACTCAACCTTGCAGCTTCAATGTAGCCAGCTGGCAAGAAAAGACAATTCATGTGCCATCGGTAGCACTAAGACACCTGAAGTATCATCTAAAGCTCATAGGGCGGCCCCCTAACACCTCCCTCGCGATAAGCTTGCTGCCCCAAGGTCCCCCTTCCCACTCACAAAATCCTCCTTCCAATGCCCCCTCCTTCCACGTGCCATCAATAATCATAGGACCCCTTCATCGTCCGTCCTCCAGTGCCTAACCACATTCCCAGTGTCATCCAAAAACACATGCAGCAATCCGTTCCCATCAAGAGTCTCTTGAATAAACAGATGTGTCACGACACAAGCAGCGTGATATTCTCCATACTGAAGCAGCGGGTTCTTGACATCTTCGGAGAATTCGTCCTCCCCTTCAGCTTCATTATTCCCTCCATCTTCTTGAATCCTCCTCAAAGTATCCCTGAGAACTGTCTTACGATGCTCAACATGTGCAACTGACCCCACATTTGTGACCCTCTCCGGAAAAGTTTACAAGAACCTCGCCAGGTTTGTTCCCTCGCCGCCGAAAAGCTCCTTATCGTCGAAGATGATGCCGTCGGGCCCGACGAAAGCCGCGTCCAGGTTCTGCGACCATAGGGACTTGTGTGCCTCTTCTTTGTCTGCATCGTAGCAGAGACGGAGATAAAGTCCTTCGTCTAGGGAGCCCGTGCGCTCAGCGTAAGGCCGCAGCAACTCGGGACGCGTGGGACGCAGGATTTCGGCTATTTGACTGTTTGTAGGTGTTGGTGGAGTTTCGGTTTGTGAGTGGTAGGGCTGTTTTTTGGTCAGATGTTAGGCATGCAAAATAGGAATTTGGGAGGGTAAAAAGTACCTCACGTCCCGCACTCCCCAGCGCAAGGAATTTGCGATTAAGCCGACTACGCCGGTCAGAGGGGGACTCAGGGACAGGGTGCTGCGAAGCCTCGGTGAGGTAAGATGAATGCGAAGTATCCCATTCTGAGAGGAGGTAGATGTCCAGTGGGAGGGTGCCCCAGGCGGGGGCGAGGGGGGTTCTCCTTCAAGGATTCGGAGGGGCATTGTTTGGGCTGTTCTGATCGGTGATTGTGTACTGCAGCAGAAAGTGGAAGCGGGAGAATATGGAAGAGAGGCCGGCGGAGAACAGTTGTACCTGGCAGAAGGTATGGTAGAGTCGGAACCTAGGTAGGTTGTCTTACTATGTAGAGTTCGTAGCAGGCTACGATATCTCCTCACTTCGCTGTTTTCTTCGTCCTCATGAATTCCAATATGGAGGAAACACGCTATTTACATGCTACAACAGCCTTCATCTCCCGTGTTTGGCATTGAATTCATCCGCTACCTTTCTCGTCGTCCTGATGATGTCAACGCATCCAGGAGAGTCAGAGTGGCAGCAGATTGAGACCGGGTACGTTTTCAGTGGCAGTTGCACAATAGTCCCATCAACTGCCGTGACTGACTGCTCTTCGATCTGCTGTCTGACGTGCTTCTCAACATCTGCGAGGTTCCAGGGCTTCTTCTTCCGATCGATCACAAGCATGCCGTTCGAGTCGTATTTCACATCGCCATATAGCTCAGCCCAGAACTCGATCCCCAGGTCGTTGGCAGCTTTCTCCATTTGAGTGCCTGCCAGCCCAAACACGGGCACACCTTTTGGAATTCCCAGCATAACCGCCTTGGCAACTTCATAGTCCCGGCACATCATACCGTACAATACCCCATGAGGCTTTACATGGTGCAGGCGAACTCCTTCGCGGTCGAGGAAGCCTTGGAGTGCCCCAACCTGGTAGATTGTGATTGCGGTAAGCTCTTCTGGGGAGAGCTTCATCTCCCGACGACCGAACCCTTGCAGGTCTGGAAGACCCGGGTGAGCACCGATTCGTACATTGTGAGCTTTGCAATTTCGCACTGTTTCCATCATAATGAGCGGGTCGCCCCCATGGAATCCGCAGGCAATATTGGCGATATCGATCATTGGGAGGAGCTCGAGGTCAGGACCGCAGGTCCAGTTGCCATACTATGAGGACATCAGTAGTGCGACTATAACGAGCGTGTTAAGCTCGGGAAGCGTATATAATTACAGCCTCCCCCATGTCACAATTGATAAGTGCCTTCTGCTGTATCGGTGCCATAGTGCTTTATATCGCGATCCGTACGAAGTTGGGAAAGCTGCAGTCTCTCAACAATGGATGACTTCCAGAAAAGACTTGGGAAAGCGGTTAAGCAAGGAACAAGTGGCAAGCAATATAGATATGCCCAAAAATTCAGTCTTTTCAACTGGCACGGCTGAATGGAACTTTGGGCTGAAGGGATTTGGAGCTTATCAGTCATGACAGCATAGATGGATACTCCGCATTTTCTCCAAATCTCCAACAAACGGCGATCATACCTTGTTATCTGCCATTGACCCCAGGTGTTACCTTCTTTCATTGGGGTACAGCGCCGAGGTCCTGATCTTTCAGTTCAGATAATGTTCCTCTTAAGCGGATTGCGCCCAAGTTGTGTTGCTCCAAGGCGCATCGCTGGCTACTGCTCTGCATCACGATGGATTGTTTAAAAACTCTACTCGTTGCCAACAGAGGCGAAATCGCTGTGAGAATTATCAAGACCGCAAAGTATGGTGGCGCAAGCTCAAGCTGCTGATTAGATCTGACATTGTGGTCCAGGAAGTTGAATCTTCGTACAATTGCGATCTATACCGAGCCAGACGCTGCCTCTATCCATGTTCGCCTAGCGGATGTCGCCGTTCTCCTCTCTGGTTCTGCTTCAAAGGCATATATTGACGGGTGAGTCTACTTGCCTCCTTTCAAGATTAATCTGACCCAGAGTCTCCAGTGATCAAATAATTCAGATTGCAAAGCAGAACAAAGCGGATGCTATTATCCCGGGTTATGGATTCCTATCTGAGAATGCAGATTTCGCGAGGGCTGTGGCTGCCGCTAGTCTAGTATTTGTTGGACCCTCCCCTGAGAGCATCGAAGCTTTTGGCCTCAAGCATACAGCTCGAGAACTTGCGACGAAGGCCGGAGTTCCCATCGTGCCGGGATCACCTGGCCTGATCGACAGTGAAGATGACGCTGTGGATGTGGCTCAGAAGTTGGGGTATCCAGTATGTACCGTAAAAAAGGAGAGAGCTTTCGGCGGGGCTAATGGATGGTGCAGGTCATGCTGAAAGCCACCGCTGGTGGTGGTGGAATGGGCTTGCTGACATGCAATTCCGAGGCCGAAGTGCGCAAGTCCTTTGCAACTGTCAAGTCGCGAGGGGAAGCATTGTTCAAGAATGCAGGCGTGTTCATTGAGCGTTATTATCCATCGAGCCATCACATAGAAGTCCAGGTGTTTGGCAACGGGGATGGTAAGGCTATTTTTATTGGTGAAAGAGAATGTTCGATACAAAGAAGGCATCAGAAGGTGATTGAAGAATGTCCCAGCCCTTTCGTCTCCAGGAAACCGGGGTTGCGAACGAGCTTGGGTGAGGCTGCCGTCCGCCTGGCCGAATCGATCAAGTATGGTTCAGCAGGGACGATTGAATATCTCGTCGATGATGAAACTGGCGCATTCTTTTTTCTGGAGATGAACACTCGCCTACAAGTCGAGCACGGGATAACTGAACTCTGCTATGGCATTGACTTGGTTGAACTTATGCTAGATCAAGCGGATGCCCAGCTTTCTGGGAAGAAGGGGATTAAAGCATCTTTCCTTGAAAGCTTACATGTGGAAGCCCCTTCTGGCGCTGCTATTGAAGCAAGAGTATACGCTGAAAATCCGACCAAGGAATTCGCCCCATGTCCTGGAACCTTGCAAACCGTCGAATGGAAGGAAATACCAGGTTCGAGGATTGATACATGGGTCTATCGAGGCATCAAGGTATCCTCCAATTACGGTATATCCCACGAGCAACATCCTCCTTTTGGTACTTTGGCCGGGCTGACAGAAACATATAGACCCCTACTCGCGAAGGTCATGTACCACTCGCCAGATAGACAGCAGACTATAATGGGAATGAGGGAAATTCTAGGAAAATCACGCATCTGCGGGCCTCCAACCAATCTGGATTTCCTGGTTAAGATTCTAGAAGAGGAGGCCTTGGTTGCAGGCAACACATTGACAAGATTTCTGGACGATTTCCAGTACACCCCGTCAGCAATCGACGTCATTTCGGGCGGCGCCTATACGCTCATCGAAGATTGGCCCGGTCGACCGACCATAGGAAGGGGCTTTTGTCATTCTGGGCCAATGGACCCGCTAGCTTTCCGCATCGCGAATGCCCTCGTCAATAACCCCGTCGGCCTCGAGGCCCTGGAGATCACCCTGAGCGGTCCGGATCTACGCTTCCTCGGGCCAGCAATCGTCTCCCTTTGTGGAGCTCCGATTGAAGCTAAACTCGATGGAGAGACTGTTCCAATGTGGTCAAGAGTCAAGGTAGCCGCTGGTCAGCGTCTGGCTATCGGTAAAACTACAGGAAACGGATGCAGGGCTTACCTCGCTGTCTTTGGGGGATTCCTCAACGTGCCCAAATGGTTTGGGTCAAAGTCGACGTCTCCAGGTGTAGGAGTTGGAGGTTATCAAGGTCGGCAGCTTTCGTCGGGCGACCTTCTCACAATCACAAGCGTGATTCCGGAAGTCAATGGTGATCTCCGTATACCAGAACACCTTATCCCCGATTACCCAAATCGGTGGGAGCTACTAGCCATGCCAGGACCCTACGATGAGGGCTATCTTACCCCCGAGAGCATCGATATGCTGTTTGAGACTCAGTGGAAGATTTCACACAATGCGGCAAGAGGAGGCATCCGTCTCATCGGCCCCAAACCACGGTGGGCTCGCTCGGATGGGGGAGAGGGCGGCGCACATCCTTCTAATGTGATAGAATACGGATACGCAATCGGCTCACTCAACTGGACCGGCGACGATCCCGTTATCTTTCCACAAGATGCCCCGGACTTTGGGGGATTTGTTAGCAGCCATACGATCGTAAAGGCAGATCTATGGAGGTTGGGACAGGTCAAAGCGGGGACACCCTGAAATACAGAGCGGTGTCTTTGGCTGATGCCTTGGATGCGCGGAAGAACACGGAGAGGTTCGTCGACGAACTGGTCCATTGCTGCAAGCAAGAGCATGGGTTCAACGGCGTGAAACCGCTGGGAGGCATGCCTCCCGAGCAGACTGCCGAGACTCGCGGCAAAGGCGTGGTGTATCGGATTGAAGAACAAGGGAACCAGCCTCTTGTGTCTTACAGACAGGTATGGTGCACTTGTCGTTCATTCATATGGGTCTCGGCTGATCAACTACTTCTTTAGGCAGGGGACGACTATCTCCTCATTGATTATGGCCACGGGTCATTTGACTTGAACCATCGTTGCAGAGTGACTGCACTTAAGAAGGCGCTCAATGAAGGAAAAGAGATCACGTTCTCGAATGGGCTCATTTCAACGGTTGGATGCGGAAATTGTAAGAACTTCTCCCGGCCGACGAGGACTTCATAACTAAGTCACTCTTTGCAGCGCTGATGCTCTACTACGACGGCATGAAACTCCCTCAGCAAAGACTAATCAGCTATCTCTGCGACCTCGAGACCAAACTCGGAGATCTTAGTCAAGCAAAGATGCCGAGTCGGCTGTTCAGGCTTCCTCTCACGTTCGAGAGTCAAAGACAAAAGGATGCCATTCAGCGCTACATGGAAACCCAGCGTCCGTATGCTTCCTACCTTCCAGATAACATGGAGTTTGTCGCCAAAAACAACGCTTTCACAAAGGAAGAGTTTGAAAACATCTTCCTGACAGCCAGCTTGATGGTCGTCTCCGTTGGATTCTTCACAGCACTTCCGCTCGCCCTCCCTGTGGATCCTCGTCAACGCATGAACTGCCCAAAAATGAATCCAAGCAGAGTATATACTCCGGCCGGCTCAGTATCATGGGGTGGAAGCTGCATGGCGTGAGTACTCTTCAAGCATTTCAAAGTATCAAAACGTTTGACGGCAATTAACAGGTTGTACAATGTCGATTCTCCTGGTGGATATCAACTGACCGGAATGACCATACCGGGCGTCGACATCTTGGGCTCGAAGAAAGGTTACAGCGCCGACAGACCATGGCTCTTCGAAGAATTTGATCAGATAACCTTCTACCGAGTCTCCGAAGAGGAATACGAAAAACAGCTGGCGCTGTTCAATAGCGGCCAATACGAATATCAATGGGAGGAGGTTGTCTTCGATATGGCGGAGCACAACCGACTCTTGCAGGAAACCCGCGACGAAGTAGCAGCCATCCGAGCACGGCAGCGTAAGGCGCAGGCCGAAATGGATAAAGTCGAAGCAGAATTGCTCGAACGCTGGGCAAAGGAAAGGGCCGAGAGGGGAGTATCTCAGGACACAATCGAGAGTTTACTTCAAGGTAGGCAATTCCAAGGATCATGGAAGAAGTCAATGCTAACATGTACGTCCCTTGCACAGACCCTGAGATCATCGCAATCGAGGCGCCCTTGAATGCCAATGTGTGGAAAGTCGAGGTCAAACAAGGGGATAAGCTTGAAGAGAACCAGGTTGTGGTCATACTAGAAGCGATGAAACTCGAAATCGCTGTGCGAGTCGAGCCTTCTGCAGCGGGTGCCACCGTGGAGAAAGTTTTGGCACCTCCAGGAGAACCGATCGAGGCTGGTAAGCCATTATTACTTGTACGCAAAGTCAAGACCTGAGAGAAGAGTCGATAATGGTACTGTCATATTTGCTTTGGCCCAAGAGGATCTGTAAACTATTTATCTTCGTAGCATACCGTAACCACCAGGACAAACTCTGTGAATCTCCAAGTCTAAGAACCTTTAGACAAATAACAATCGTTCGTAGGTATGGTATCTCATCATCAGTCATCAAAGGGAAATGGAAATGGCTCGCTGAAGCGTCTATTCCCACCAGAAACTGACACTAATTCCAGCCTTGACGCCACGAACATAATGCCACCATCCCACTGGAACATACAAGCATTCGCCTTCCTTCAGCACGGTCTCGACGTACTCAGCCTCCAAGAAGCCCGGCCACATCGCTTCCCACTGTTCGGACTCGGCCGGGGAGAGCTCAATGGCAGCCAGGTCGACCTGAGAAGTATTGGACATGTCAATGAGCTGAGTCTGCTTCTCGACCCTGGCCTCCGAGCCTTTCCCTTGCAGCTGGGCGGCGTCAGACAGGCCTGCTGAGGTATTGGACCCGGACGATGAATTGACGGCCTCCATGCCCTTCGGATAGATCTGCGAGGGCGGCGTATGAGGCGAGTAGAGTCGAATGTACTTCGCGCCCACCACCTGGACTAAGATGTTGTGGTATGGATCATGATGGAGAGGAGATATAGTCCATGCGGGGCCGATCCAGGTGTTTACGATCGGGTCACTGGGGACTCCCAGGACGGAAGACTCGTCGTCGGACGCTGTGTTCTCATGCTGTTGCTGCTCGTGCGACTTTGTGTGCGTTTCGGTGCCGCCTGACAAGGCATTTCCGGATTTCAATTTCTCTTCTCGCTCTCGCTGCTTCTTGAGGTAGACTGGCGTTCCTGGCTCCGGACCGGGAGGCTCGATGAAGCAGTAATCGGGGATGCAGATGTCCTTCCGGAGAGCCGGGATCTGCGAGAGCAGATCATGCTGCGCCATGTATCCCGTTTCGCTTGTATCGTTGCCGTCGTCCTCGCGCTCCTTCCCAGCCCCAGACGTCTTGCCTTCTCCCCTCCAGAGGAACTTGTCCACGAATCCTCGAAACTCCATGATTCGCTGGCCCCATCCTTCGTCAGTGTAGGATCTACCCACCTCCACGGGGACGAGCCTGCGGCCGCCAAGCGTGCGATCGAACCAGTAGTCGCGTGAAGCCCAGGGCCGGGTCGACAGCGCAGGCCAGTGGTCCACCGCGTCGGTGATGACCAGCGGTGTTCTGACGTGCTGGATATGGTGTTCGATGGCGTCGAAGGACGGCGCGGAGACCCGAGGGATAGGATGTTTCAGCGTCGATGCAGGCACAGCATCAGGAGGGAAGAGTGGCGGCGAGAGCTTCCTGCGTTTAAACGCCTGGCCATCGAGCCCTGAATCACTGGGGTGGTCTTGGATGGAGCGCTGGTCCGTCTTCCCTTCGCGGTAAGCTTTTGTAGCGAGGTGAAGAGCGGAGAAGAGCGATTCGACCAGGTTCTCACGGAGGGGGGCGCCCGTCATAATCAGTGCATTGTCGAGGGTGTGGATTGACGACAACAGCCATGGCGCGTCGGGGTCAATTTTGTACTCGGCCTGCTCCTTTTCGCTTGGGAGTTGATCGAGCTTCGATGAGTTTTCAGTGCCATCTGCGAGTCTAGAATCCTTGTCTACCAGTGCTTCGTCGCACGAGAAGCCGCAGTTTCTGCAGATAGCCAGGCACACCTTCGCAATGCTCGCGTCCGTGTAGAGTCTTCGCCAGCATGTCTTCACATCTTTGAATGGGAAAACGCGTAGTTTTGTGTCGGCAAGCTCGAGAGCACCGTCTGTACTCTTCAAAAGAAGCTCGCGTAGGGCAGCAAGATCGTTGTCGCAGCATTCGAGGATGGGATCTTCGGGAGCTGGATTGGTGAGGGCGGCCAGCGCGTTGGCGACCACGGAGCTGAGATGCGTCATCTCTGCACAAGGAACGATTAGAGAGTCATGAAGTCAGACAGAGCCTATCAGTTCCGAGAGAGATAAAGATCAGTAGATGATAGAAGTAGGCTCAGAGGGCTCTTACTGGAAATTGTGCTTTTTAAGCTGTGTTTTCTCTTCTCTTCTCTTCACTCCACACATTAACTGGTGAAGCGACGTCATTGCAAAGTGAGTACGGTGGAAGTGAATCACCATGCTACAGAGTACAATAGTGTTTATCCTCTGTTTTTCACTTTTCAATGGAGGAACAATATGTAAAACAGATACTCAATAAACCAAAAGCATTGATTTTTTTTTTTTAATATGAGTGGGATTGGAGTGTGAATTATAGTAGATGAACATAGTCTAGTGAACAATACAACTATATACATACATGTCTCAGAAGGAATTTGACCATATAAACTATTGTGATACAAAAATCATTATTTCCCTAACTCCTCCCAGATGTCATCACTGATGCAACAGAAACTCAGTCTAGCAACTCCATCACAAGCTTTGGAATTCGACTGACTCCCTCGCCTCTGATGGCGCTTACTGGAACGGCGCAGACCTTCTCTTTCCAACCGTCTGGATATCCTCCTGGGTGGCCAACCGCACCGTTTTGAACAGCAGCGAGGTAGTCTCGCAGTGTCTTGAATCTGTCTTGGGTTTCTGGCAAGTCGGCTTTCGTAGCCACGACAAGCCAAGGTTTTGTGTGAATGGGTGGAAGTTCAAGGGAAGGGAGCTGCCCTTTCGTGCTGTCAGGGGTATTGGTGGGAGAATCCCATGGAGAATCTAAGTCGTCCATGGGATTTTGTGAAGCGAGTTCAGGCAGCCCTCCAGTCGGTTGCCACTCATCTTCGCTTTCGGAGACAGGTTCGGTGTTACGTATCCGTTCATATTCGCCAAGCTCGTGCCACAAATTCTGAAGGCCTTGCACAGGGTCTCCTGCACTCAGATCTACCACGAAGGCCAGAATACCCGCCCGCTCAATGTGTCGCAGGAAGCCTAATCCAAGACCGCGGTCGAGATGAGCACCTTCTATCAGACCTGGAATGTCTGCTATGGTGAAGTAGGTCCGCATTGCTTTTCCCTTGGCTTCAACAAGCGGCCTTCCCTTGTGGTCATCGATAACGACCGTCCCGATACTGGGGGAGAGCGTGGTGAACTCCCAATTTCCAACGCGCGTGCGGCTATTGGTCAATGACCGAAGAAGCGTGCTTTTGCCAGCATTCGGCTTCCCGACTAATCCAACATCGGCAAGCAGCTTCAATTCAAATTCAAGCTCCAGACGCATACCCCCTTCTCCCCTTGACGCGAACTTTGGCCGAGTGATCGAACGAGATACCCAGTGGGGATTGCCCAGACCGCCGACGCCTCCGGCGGCCAGCAAAATCGGCTTATCCATTGGTTTTGAGAGGTCGAGGTATATGGGCGCTTTGGGTTCCATAGCGGCGATATTTTGCCTTCGAGGCGGATTCCTTGGAAAGACCGTGGTCAGGTAATCGGAAGGATTGGAGCCCGGGTAGAGCACCCAGCGATCATGACGGACTGAGGGCAGCCCAATCTCATCGAGCTCATCGACATCAACTGCAGGTGCCTTTCGTCGCTTGAGTTCCTCGGCCACTGGGTCGTATCGGTCTACCTCTCGCACGACCGTCCCAACGGGAACTTGAAGCAGGACATCCTCTCCTCGCCTGCCTCCTTTGCTCTTTCCTTGTCCATTTTTGCCCCTTCCGGCTTTGATTACTCCTCGACGAGCAAGTTTGTGCAGGCTAGTAATGCCCTCGACAGCTTGGATATAGATGCTTCCGCCGCTTCCACCGTCACCCCCATTTGGTGGACCTTCCTCGACGTACTTCTCACGCAGGAATGAGACACATCCGTTGCCACCCGACCCAGCATATATTGTCGAGCGACATTTGTCCTGAAATATGAACCGAGAATAATCATCAGGCGGTGGATTCAGGTGAGAAAGGTCAGGCGAATTTTCGGCATCTTGAGCGGCGACAGATCGTTCCTTCGGTTGCGATGAGCCCCGGTCTTTGCTGTACCATCTACCACGTACTAAGGCTACTCTCAAGTAGGATATATCTGTGATTAGTGGTCGCGCGGTTCGTTGTAGGACAGAAGGAAACGAGAACAAAAGACTTGTTCTTGAAGTCATTATTTCAGATCGCAGTCTCGGCGTGGTTCATCCTGGAGAACGAACTCTGATCTAGGACATAGACATTAATTTTGAGCAAGGTAACGGCATTCCCGACTTTCCACTGGGAAACAAAATGAGAGATAATATGAAGCAAAACGTCGTTGGTGAAGCTTCTTTCGAATCTCAATTCTTGCGATAATGTCACGTGGCGATAACCTTTATAATCACGTGTAGATAACGGATGCTAGTTGGTGCCTTGCAGACTCGCCCTCACGGAGTAAATCCTCTCGCTTCAATCTTATTGAAGGCTGCTTTTGCTTTTACACCCCTGTTCGCGAGCATGAAAATGAAAACCCCAGCTACCTGGTCATGATTATTGTGGCTCACTACAAAATGCACTAACAAGGCCAATCAGACCAGCTATCGTGTGTCCTGATTGCTTTGAAATGGTAACAGTGTTGTCACACTCCGTCCAAATTCTACACGTCAACTGCTTGGCATACGACCTTTGGGCCTAGCTTGGGGGCAATGCAGCTCCGATCCGACGAGATGTGATGATGACAGGTCAACGGAACCAATCAATCGCCGATCCGCTAAAGTCTGTCAAAGAAAATCCTGGATATCAATTGAGAATGTGACCTAGGATACTAAGTTGCTAAGAACCTGAATCTATTATTGGGCCCAGAACCATGTTCCTAACTTGCAAGGGCTAGATGCATGTCTAACTCACCCTAGCTGCCCCGGACCCAGGGAGCCTGGCGCGCAAAAGTACGTGATTACCTCGCAAACCCACCAGCTATCCTGATCGAAGACGGGGAAGTGGAAACAGTGATCCCAAGTACTTTTGTCTAGTCAATGGTGGATGCGAGGATCGACACACACTCCGAACAATCGGGCTCGAAACTCTCAAGTCTAGAGCTGTCAGCGT